GGTCGACGGTGAGGGTGGTGGGACAGACTGCGAGAAAGTGGTCCCTGACGACGCGAAGGGAGTCAGGGAGGCGCGCGACTACGTAGTAGAGAGCGATGTACATGGGGGGGGGGTTCTTAGCGCAGAACTCAGCAGGAAGGGCGGCGCGGTAGCGAGTGTCACTAGTGCGGAGGTGCGTAATGAGGTCAGCGACAGTGGGAAAGGCAGAGAGGTCGGGAAAGAGGTAGGGAAGCATGAGACGGCTCAGTGCAGCAGTGGCAGGGGAGGAGTAGCGCGCAACTACAACGTCGTACAAGGTCTGAGCACTCTTGTACTGACTAAAGTGCGCACGCTCAGAGGTAGGGAGGTGGCGACGCACAGCAAGACGTGCAGCAGCATCGCGGGTGGCCCACTTAGAGCGGACAGTGGGATCAGCATCAGCAGCAGGAGCAGGAGAGGCGCCAGAGGTGAGGTCAAAGAGAGAAAGGTCGTCAGCCCTGTCGCACTGTAAGAACAGCTGCAGGTCGTCTAACCAGACCTCAAAATCAATGGCGCGACCCTCAGCGTCGAAAGCTAGGACACTAGGGGTAGCCATGGCGACGACAGCGACGCAGTGCAAGCAGTAGGGAAAGAGCTCGCAGTGTCAGTGGGACTGTGCTCACCAGGCAGGGCAGGTCGTGCAGCTATGCAGAAAGGCGGCTCAGCGACCGGGCGGCTCGGGTGCACAGCGGCTCGGCTCCCGGGCGGCTCGGTGGCTGGGCGGCTGGGGCGCAGGGCGGCTCGGCTCCCGGGCGGCTCGGCGGCAGGGCGGCTCGGGTCCCGGGCGGCTCGGCGTTGGGCGGCTCGGCTCCCGGGCGGTTCGGCTGCTGGGGCGGCTCGGCCGGGAGATGCAGGGGCGGGGCCGTCAGGTGCAGTGGCGGGCCGACCGGTGCAGTGGCGGGCCGGCAGGTGCAGCGGCGGGCCGGCAGGTGCAGCGGCGGGCCGGCAGGTGCAGGCGGCGGGCCGTAGGGTGCAGCGGCGGGCCGTAGGGTGCAGCGGCGGGCCGGCAGGTGCAGCGGCGGGGCCGTCAGGTGAAGCGGCGGGCCGCTGGGTGCAGCGGCGGGCCGGCAGGTGCAGCGGCGGGCCGGCAGGAGCAGCGGCGGGCCGGCAGGAGCAGCGGCGGGGCCGTCAGGTGAGGCGGCGGGCCGGCAGGAGCAGCGGCGGGCCGTAGGGTGCAGCGGCGGGGCCGTCAGAGGCGGCGGGCCGCTGGGTGCAGCGGCGGGCCGGCAGGTGCAGCGGCGGGCCGGCAGGAGCAGCGGCGGGCCGGCAGGAGCAGCGGCGGGGCCGTCAGGTGAGGCGGCGGGCCGGCAGGAGCAGCGGCGGGCCGTAGGGTGCAGCGGCGGGGCCGTCAGAGGCGGCGGGCCGTAGGGTGCAGCGGCGGGCCGTAGGGTGCAGCGGCGGGGCCGTCAGAGGCGGCGGCGGGGCCACGGCAGTAGAGGCGGGGCCGCGTCAGGGGAGGTGGCGGGGCCGCATCAGGGGAGGCGGCGGGGCCGCGTCAGGCAGGCGGCGGGGCCGCGATCAGGAGAGGTGGCGGGGCCGCGTCTGAGGGACAGCGGGGCCGCGAGGGAAAAGGCGACCCGAGGGGTCGCTAAAAAAAAGGCGCGCCTCGGGGCGCGCTTCGGTGGGCCCTAAAAAAACGATCCTAAGGCAGGACCCGCTCTGATACCATGTGAAGCAAGGAAAACAGGAATGAAATGACTAAGGAAAGATTGGGTACAAATACAACCCTAGAAAGCTGTACCCCATATGTGCTACCCCACTATAGCCTACAAACATACATCAGCTATAATACTCTGACAGTCGGTCCCTCGAGAAATGTGGAAGGCGGCCGACTTCGTAGAGGAAGATATGGTGTACGCGTGCGTCGACGTGCTCGTGATGGAGGCAATGCGCCACCTGAAAACCATAGAGGCCAAGAGCACACTCAAGTCCTACACCTCATGGATATACGACTACAAAAGGTGGACGGCGAAGATGCTTAAAAAAATTGGCGACAAACTGCCGACAGCAGAACAAATGAGGCACGTCGACGAGATAGGGCACTGGACACACAACAACAAGAGCAAGGATTGGGACAACGAGAAGGTGGTCAAGCGGAAGCACATATGGCTGCACGGCCCCCGGGTCACTAGTACGCGACTGCGCGCCTACATCAAGTTCATGAGGCGGGAGTACAAGATCGACGCCGACACGAACGAGCCAGTGCGAGCCTACACGGTGCACATGATCCTCGGCCGCATCAAGGCCTGCCAGATGGCGGCGAGGGTGGAGGCGACGCTCTACAAGGAGAAGGAGTTGGGCATCATGCGGGAAATCTCGGTGGTCCAATCGGAGGTGCGGGTCATGGTCCGCACGAAAAATCAGAGGGACCTCGAGTAAGTTGGCATGCATCGCCGTGTTATGTCGCCATCGATTTGTGTTCCTCGCCCTAATATTCATATCCATATATTGTTATGTCGACAGTAAATGCGCCGACCGTCGACGCGGCACCATCGGCGACACATACACCGCCGAACAGTTCCGCCAGATAATGACGAGGGTGCTGCCGGCTTGGGCGGCGTCGGCATGGAGCCCGCATTTCACCACACCTACGCAGACGCTGTGGAGGTTTCTTCTCATCAAGGTGCTCACGCTGCTCTCCCACCACAGCCTCATGCGCGATGCAAGCATACGCGAGATAACGCTCCCCGACATCTTCCTGTACCGACTGGCGAGCACCTCGTCGGTGAACCCGGATAACCAGCCGGTCGTCATGGTGGTCGCCGCGCGGAACTCGAAGACGTCGAAGGATGCGCGTCTTCAACAGAGCTACGCGGCGCGGCACCTAGAAGCGGAGTTGTGCGCCGTCGGCGAGACCGGGCTGTGGTTACACTTCGTCCTCGACCAGATCGGCCAGTTTCACGGCGTCGACCTCATTCCGCCGGTCGACACCAGCACACGTGAGCTCTGGTACAAGAAGCACCTGTTCTTCGCCCGCAACGACCCCGAGCAGGGCGAACTCTCAGCTCCCAGCCACCAGCGATGGACGAGGCAGATGTGGAAGACGAACGGGGTGTTCTGCAAGCGGAACGTCCATGCCGCTCGGGCGGGCGGGGCGCAGGAGTTGGCCATCCAAGGTACGCCTCGCGCCGAGATAGCCGAGCTGGATCACTGGGCTCTCGACAAGATGACTCGAGCCTACATCACATCCATTCCCGTCGGCGTGGTGATGAAGAAGGCCGGCTATTCGGGATTCACGCAGGACTACTTCTTGGGTCGCAGTAGGGTGGAACCGGGAGACGAACTCCTCGCTCTCATCGCCGAGCACATCTTCCCCGGCGTCGACGACCTCCTCAACAAGTTTTGTTTATCGGTGCCGACCAAGCTTGCATGGTACTGTCCTATCCACCACGGAAATAACCCACGTCTGATGTCTAACTGCAGGCAGAAGAACTCGCGAAGAAGGGGTCCAACGCCGACGTTGCGGCCGTGCATTTCTGGCGCACCCTTCTGATGTTCCGCCGCATTGTCGCCGAGGACCTCGCGGTGAAACTCGTCCGCACCCCTTGGCACCCGTACATCCAGTATTCCAAGCTCTGCCAGATTCCCCTCTTCCAGCACTGGGCGAAGAGGGTCGAGAAGACCGACACCGACACCATAAAAAAGCGGCAAGATCCAACCCTCATCCAGCCAGAGGTAGGTCATCTTTTATGGCGACGTCGCGATGTTATCTATGACCGCTACAACCCCTCATCTGCACCGTTATTCGCATACCATTGCAGGAGATATCGGTCCGCCATGACGCCCAGTTCGCGGTCGTCTCCCTCACGGAGACGCTTAAGCTCGAGAGGGAGCGGTCAACGGTCCAGAAGCTCGACCTCGAGGAGAAGATCGAGAATCGCGACGCAACCATCGCGTCGCTCGCAGCCGAGATAACACGCCTCACCGAGGCTCTCTGCGTTTCAGAAGCTCGAAGGATGCCGGAGGCGCCGCCAGCTGCTAACGACCAGTCGCCGAGCGACGGTGGCTCCGCGGAGTCGGCAAGCAGGGGTGGAGGAGCCAACAAACCCAATAAACCCCCACAGACGGTCGAGGAGGCTAGCTACAAGCTGAACGTAGTGCAGCCTTGGCGGACTGCAACGACCGTCAAGGACGCGTGGCGCCTCTGGACCTCGTGCACCAGCGCCGACACCCGTCGTCTGTGCGACAGGTTCAGGGAGCCGGGATTCGTCGACCGCCACACCCTCCTCGACGGAGCCTCGCAGGGAGCACACGGGAAGAGGGTGCGCCGCATGATGAAGGTCATCGATGCGGTGCGCCAGCTTCGCAGGAGCGACGGCGAAGCCGACACGGAAGCCACCGTCGACGCGCTTAACAAGATAGCGGCGCTTGGCATTGGGACCTTCGCGGATGCCCTCACGGTGCTCAACGCGGACGCCGTAGCGACCTATGCCGGGCAGGATAAGGGCGTCAAAGGGCTCGGCAAGACGGAATTTTCCAAGCTTCGTGTCGCCTGTGCGTTCGTGGCGCGCGGGTTAAAGCCCGAAACGTGGGTCGCCGACCTGTTCCCGGACACCTGGGTTGAGCAGATGAAGAAGACGTTGGCCGATCTGGCCCGCGAAAACGACGCCGGGCAGCTGCCTCCGACCAATAAGTCGACCAAGCGCAAGAAAACCGTTTGAATGTTCCCAGGCCTCCTGCTACTGTGGCCTGTTGCATGTTGTAGATGTTGATGCAGCATGCCTATGTTTCATACTGATACTGATGTCGACTTTTTGTTTCTCACAATGATCCTGTTGTTCTTGGCCTAGCGGGGCATTCACGTGTCGTTCAAACTGAAGTAGACAATCATTACTAGCTAATGTGTTCATTACTCATCCTACGTAAAGTAGACAGGCACGCACAAAAAAAAACACAAACAAAGAGCATCAAAGGGATCCGACAGCCAAAACAAGGAAAACGATATCGACCATTTCATCATCGAGTCCACGCAGCACTCAATCTTAGCAGGCCGTCGAGTAGGCCGTCGTGCTGTCCTTCTTCGACATCTTGCCCTTCTCCGTGCCGCCCTTGGTCTTCGTCCCCTTCTTGCCCCTCAGACCCTTCCTCCCCCTGTTGTCAAGATCGGCCTTCATCTGCGCGTCAATCGGCACCGCGATGTCCCTCGCTCTTAGTTTCGGCCCGGCGACGGGGCACATTCCCCAAAACGCCATCGTCTCAACCGTCGCTCTAGCGATAACGTCGGCATCTACTCCAGCATTCCCCCCCGGATAGACCCTATCAAGGGCGGTCCTCTGGAGTGCTGGCGCGACGTTGTAGGCAACCTCTCCCAGGGGGCGGTCCCTGTTCATCTTGGCTTTCAGCACCGCCTCCATGACTTTTCCGAATACATCGGCGGTCGCCTGGCTCGCTCCGCCGATGATCGCCGCCGACTTCCCTTCTTCCACAGCATCCGCCAGCTGGGCATCGCCGTTCTCGACGAAGCACCACACAGCGCATGCGGATGCTGCTAACGTCCATGCCGCCATATCCGTCTTCTCCTCCTTGTCTCCCTCCTTCTTCGCCGCTGCCGCAGCGGTCTTCCCATATGCAGCGCACATTGACACGCGGCCTATCATCGCCGACATCATGAACGCCGACTTCTCCCGGCCTTCCTCGGTGCTAGCATCGACTAGGTACCATATCGCTGGCAGGAGCGCGGCGTGGAGACAATCGCCTGTGGACTTGTAATGGCGATATGCGTCGAGGATCTCTGTCAGCCTGTCACGCCACCACAAACAGGGCGAACATGAGTGACAACGACAACGACATCGACTTTGAATCGGAGGATTGCCGACTTACCGTCTCTTTGGAAGGAGCGTACCCCGGGCCCACATCACCGTCCACATCCCTGTCGGCAAGATCCTGACCTCCTCCCACACCTCCTTCCACCTCTCCAATTCGGCGCTGTCCAAGCCGGTGAGCTCGGTCATGAGCACCTTGCTCACGAAACCGTCGTAGACGACGTACGCGATGGAGTGAACGTACGCGAGCTCCATCTTGTCCCGCGACTTGCCGATGTATCGATTGATGCCGTGCACCTTAATCTCGCCGACCCACCCTTGCTTGTCGCCCGAGGTATCGTGTCGGATGCCATGACCCCTCCTCTCCTTGCCCTTCCCCTCCTCCTCCTCCTCCTCCTCCTCCTCCTCCTCCTCCTCCTCCTCCTCCTCCTCCTCCTCCTCTTCCTCCTGCTCGACCTCCTCCACCTCCTCGACATCCTCATCCTCCTCCTCCGCCTTCCTCTTTCCCTTTCTCCCCTTCAAGGAACCCTCGCCGACCGCCTTCTCCTTCCCCTTTCTCCCGGTCGACGCACCTTCTCCGACCGACTTGTCCTTCCCCTTCCTCCCCGTCGACGTACCCTCGCCGGACGACTTCTCCTGATTCTCCCCTTTCCCTTCAACCTCCCCAATGCCGCCTCGATCTTTGTCCGCCGCCGTCTCCGCCGCCATCCCCTTCTGTTTATCCGCCGCCTTCACCTTCGACTTCTCCCGCGTCTTCCTCTGTGAGCCCGCCTTCCCCTTCCGTTTCGACTTTCCTTCACCGACCGCATCACCGGTCGCACTAGGCTCTGCCGCGATGCCGACGAGTCCCGCCGAAGGCTCCACATGTTCCGTGTCGGAGATGGCCAAGGTTCGGGGATTGGCTGCATCCAGATGGGCCTGTATGGCAGCGATATCAGCGTCTGCGGGGACCTCCTCAACGGCGCCGCCGCCGGTGGCAAGCGCGGCACGAACGCCCTTCTCCGCCGCCTTCTCCACATCAGCTGCCACATGGGTGGGTGGTGCGACATTCGCCGACGACGGCTTAGAGCCAGAGCCAGACGCCTGCTGAGTCCTCTCAGTCGACGCTAGTGCGCCCAGCTGGGCGCGCAACAACGCGGACTTTGGGTCTGTAGGAGTACGGGCGGCGACGACCGGCACTACACGTGGCCCACTGGCCGATGGGATGTCGACAGCAGGGGGGGCCTGTTGAACAGCCCTGTGGCCGGCTAGGAGCCTGAGCTGCTCCTTGAGAGCGTCCGCAACTGCCGCCCCTTTTCCCGCGCGGCCAACCTTGTCGGCAGACGGTACGTCGGCGTGGCGCGGGACGTCGGTAGGTCGCCCGGCAGACGGTCCGGTCGGATGGCGTGCACCCGCGGGAGACTGGTGAGGAACCGCTGACGCCTCCGCAACCCCTGTCTTCGGGCCCTGGCCAGCTTTCGCGGACCCGCCTGGGGCCGTTTTGGCGGCGGCCTTCTCCTTGTCGCGCAGGCCTTTCACACCGCTACCCTGTCGTGGTGGCTTAACGCCGACCGAAGGCGGAGCCATTGGCAGTGCGTCATCAGTGGCATGCTCGTCGGCGGGACCCCCACCACCATGGCCCGTGCTGGCCGCTCCAACCTGAGCCCAGTGCTTCCTGAGGATGTCGACCACGCTCTTCCCCGACTGCTTCAACGAACTGCCGTCGCCGGCTCCCATGCTCCCATCGCCGGCGACGCGAGAACCAGCCGCTCCCTTGGTCCGCCTCGCGCCCGCCGAATCGTCTCCGTCCCCCCCCCCCCGCCGCCAGACCCCCCGCCTCCCTTGCTCCGCTTCGTGTTCGCCGAATTGTCCCCGTCGCCCCCCCCGCCGCCTCCCCGCCTCTTGTGACCCAGCTTCAAGCCCTCCGTGGGTTGCGCTTGGCCGGCGTCGTTTGCCGACGGCGACGACCCACGCCGAGCATACGCCACCGTGCCGACGACCTCGGCCATTATCTTCAGTCCGGAGGCGAGGAAGGACTGCTGCGTGGTCTCCGTCACCGCCTTCAGCACGTCCTCCTTGAAAGACTTCAGGAAATCTTCCGGCAAGGCCTGCGCTGGGCCGGTAGGCGGCGGCGGCTGGACTAGGCAGGGTGCGACGGCGGCGGCAATGTTGGTCTGCGCGGCGCCGATGTATTTGATGAACGACTCCTCCAACCCCTTCCTTGCCTCGCCCACCTCCGCCGTCACGTGCTCGGTCACTGTCTTCACCGCGGTCGCGCGTGCGACCGCCGCTCGTCCCTTGGGGTCGTCAAGATCCAGCAGCGTCTGCCTCGCTAGCTCGGCGAAGGACTTGGCCGATTGAATGGCGCTGTCCATGTTGTCGGTGAGGCCCTCGGTGATTGTGGTCGCCATGGTCGACGTGGCCTCTTTGAGGCGCTCCTCCGATTTCCGGTCGGTGTCGGCGACCTGGGCGGTCAAACCCTTCACCTTCTCGAGGAGCCCAGCTAATGCCGCCGCCAAGCTGTCGACCCGCCCCGTCTGCTCACCGAGCCGCCGTTCAAGGAGTGCATTGTCTGCATGCAATCGCCTGTTCTCCGCCCTCAGCTGATCGACGACGTCCAGCCGCGCCTGCCGCCCAGCCGCGGTGGAACCGGGATGACCGCTCGCCGCCTTCTTCCTCCTAGACCGCTCCCCGCCGGCCTTCTCCGCGGTGGCATCGGTATGCACATCCACGCCCCTCTGCTCCGGGACCGCGGCGTTATCCCCTTCACCGACCTCGACCATGCCACCACCTCCGTGAGCCGCCTCCACGCCGACCTCGCCGATATTCGCTGTCGCACCCTTCCCCTCCCCTTCGTCGTTCTCGACATCCGCCGATCTCCCACCCGTTTCCTCCGCTCCTCCGACAACGTACCCCTCCGCTCCTCCGACAACGTACCCCTCCGCCATTTCCACGTCCTCCACCTCTACCAACTGCTCCTCCTGGTGCTGCCTCTCGTGCTCCTGCGTCTCCTGCTCCTGCTCCTCCTCCGACTCCGAGCCCGACCCCGATCCCGACCCCGACCTCGACCCCGACGACTCCTCCGAGCCCCCCTCACCCTCACGTTCCTCCTCGCGATCCTGGACCCCATCATCATCCCCGTGAACAACCTCAGTCCCGGTCACCCCCTTTCTTGCGGCCGCATCGGCCTCGTCGACGCCGACTCCCGACTTGCCACGCGCATCAGCGACGTTCGGGGCGACCCCTACTGGTACGGATGCAGAATGGACTTCCTCGCCGTCGTCGTCACAGGCGTCGGCAGCAACAACGGTTTTCCCCGACCGTATGAGCGGGACTTGCTTCTTGATGAGGGCTACCATCTCGTTCCGCAGCGCCTTCAACCCCGAGACGGTGGGCTTGTCCATGCTGGTGGCAATGCGACGGAGGTCGCCGGTCAGGTGCTGGAACCGCCTCACAACCCAGATCAACGCGCTCATTGCTAGCAGGCCGGAGCCCGCGTCCGAGTCCCGGACGGTATCGAGAATTTTCTGCATACAACAGTGCAGAGAGCAAGGATGAGGGCGGCGTAGATGTGACACCATATGACGGCGAATCGTCCGGAACTCACATCTCGAAGGGGTTCGTCGCAGTCGGCGAGCCTCTCCTGCACCTCGTCTTCGGACGGCTTCGCCCACTCCCATTTCCTACCCTCGCGCCGCAGCTGTATGGAAAAACCTGCAAAAGCACGGCAAGGACGGTCGGTTAGCACGGTGCACGCGCCGTGTCGACAATGTATGCGATGTCGACTAAACTATCGAGCTCACTTCAGCACGCGGATCGCCTCGTCGCGGTGCCACTCCTTCACTGTCTGCGGGTCGGCATGCCGGATCGAGGTCCTGACCTCCTGCCCGGAGGCATTGAACAAATCGCCGGGGCACAGGATGAGAACGACGCTGCAATGTGCTCCCGGAAGCGGTGCGATGCTGCACAGACAAGGCACGTCGATGGCGCTCAGAACAAATCACCGACACAGGTTGCAGCACACAGCAGGACCTCGAACCTGCTCACCTCGATATCAGTGGGATAACCGCCACGTCGGCGTCGAAAATCGTCGCAAAGCATGTGTGGTCGTCTTGACCCATTGCCGCCCGAAGCCGGCCGACTCCTATCGACCACAATCGCTCGCCTGCATCCGTTGAGCGGATCCATGCGTGCCTGCACGCATGCATGATTACAACAAATTAGAGAGGTATAGGTGCGCGGCACGACGGTGGAATGACGGGAGCCGAACGACTTCGGCACAACTCAGCGTCTTCGACGACCTAACGCATTACGTCGGCATCACCGATGTGATGTGCCTGAACTCTAAGCCCGTCGACATATACTACTGGACGCATTGAAACCCCGCCATGGCCGACCAGCATGGAATAGGCCCGTCGACGACGACATCTCCATAAGACACTCACTTGAGACCGAGTCCCAAGCAACGGGCGTTAAACTCTAGCATAGGGTTTGTCAGAACGGCGTAGTCGTGCTCTTCGAACTTGGCCGTGTGTCCTCTACCGATGTCTAGATGCAGGGGGAAATCTAGCGAGGTCGGCGCCGCTTCGGCGGCTTTCTGGCCGGCTGCCATGGCGGGAGAGCGAGGATGCTATGCTACAGGCTAAGGGAAGAAACGGTGGGAGTATGGAAGGCGCCGAGGTGGGTGGAAAAATGAAAGAGAAACGAGAACGCGAAAATGAGGGGCCAGTCCACCTCCAACGAAGAAAAGCCAGGCGGAGCCACGCAGGCCCGGTTGAGCGTCGCCCAGGGGGCCGTGATGCCTGGCTCGGCAGGGCTCGTGCACAAGTTGCGTGGCACAAGTGCACCCTCGCCGCCGAGCCAACAGGTCGACGTCACGTCCCCCGGCCTCGGTCGGCCAGGGGACGCAACTTCGCGTGGGCGCGGTGCGACGTTTCGGCACCACGTGTCGATTTCGCAGAGGGTCGCGAAAGCCGTGCGCCCCGTGGCGAACGACCCAGTTTTCGCTCGAGTTTCGGGGGGTACGAAATGTCTCATGCATGCAATGCGAAATGACGGGCGAGCACGTGGCGTCACCGCAACGGGTCGCGAAATAGTCGAGCGACCCGAGGGGAGCCCCCGATTTTCGCGTGGACCTCGCCTGCCCGTACGGGCAGGCCGCGATGGGTTACTAGGACCTCGCGGGCACGAGGGAGGGGTGGGCTGCCTTCGCGGCAGGGTTACTTTCCCTCGCCCGAGGTCTCGCCAGCTCGCCGCCCCCACCCGGTAACGTGGGTCGCTGTTCACTCTCGGGGGGGGGGGGGGGGGGGGGTTGCGGGGCGGCGTTCGTGCGCCCGGCCCAGCCCAGGGCCAGGCTGGCGGGCCCGCACGCGCGTCACTCGCCCGCCTCGTCAGACCCCTGTCCGTCGACCCCCCTCGCCCCCACCCGGTAACGTGGGTCGCTGTTCACTCTCGGGGGGGGGGGGGGGGGGTTGCGGGGCGGCGGTCGTGCGCCCGGCCCAGCCCAGGGCCAGGCTGGCGGGCCCGCACGCGCGTCACTCGCCCGCCTCGTCAGACCCCTGTCCGTCGACCCCCCTCGTCGACCCTGGCAACTCGATTCCGTCGACCTGATTCCGCTGGGATCTTCAGAGGGGAAAAGCACTGGAACTGAGAGTCGTTCTGAGGACATGTTGAAAGTGCAAGTATCGCAGGATCGTCTGCATATATCGATCCCCACAATCGAGTGGGCAGATCGTTTGGCGAAACGTGGCGACCGCGACGTTGTAACGATCGCGGCTGAAAATTGACAGATTTCCCGCGAACAGTGATCAGTCGCATTCTCACACTGTACAGAAATTTTGGCCAGAAAGCGTACTGTAGCATAGTTACAACGTAGTTAATAGGGTAACCGATCCGCACATCGATCGCTACTGATGATCGATCGTCTACTTTCCCCGCGTCCTGAGATTCATAGGTGGTTCCGTTCGTTGGTGACCACGGCGGTGACCATTCATTCTTTCGCTTTGACCAAAGTAACTTGCCAAGCCCAGCACAGCGGGTCCTCTCCTCCCCCGCCTTGTCTTCATCACGCGCAGAGGCGTTGACTTGGTTGACCGCGTGGCACCAGGGAGCTGACAGTGCATTGTGCCTAGGCTGCGAGTCGCAGCTTCCGTTACAGTCACACCACCACCCGATCGTTAGACGCGCATCCCCCGTACTGTCACGTCTTCCCTGCATGGCTCCGAGCGTGCTCTTGGGCTTGCCTGGCCCATGGGCCAAGGACGATCGTGAGCCGTCCGATCACTATACGACCAAGATCGGCGGCTTACCTGTGAGCAATCCTCGTGCCACACGCATCGTTTGACGAAATCCGTTTCCGCGCCCGCATCTGGCTCCGATCGCTGGCTTTTCTCGACGTCCATCGCCCATCTCCCGTATTTCAGCCCCCCCGTGAAACCCGAACTCAAATTCTTGAACCCTGTACCCCGGCTTTAACTCCGCGTGCCCCCGCCCCCGCGCTCCCCTGTTCCGCCGCGCGTGTCCCTCAGGACTGGCCCCCTTGGGCGGATCACCCGCCACCGCATCTGCTGCACTGCGCGCTCTGCCATGGGCCACTCTCCCTCGTGCTGCAGGTGGGTGCCAGTGCGCCCTATGCAGATTATCGTTCTGCCTCTGCTCCCTATCCCCCTTCTCCGCCCCTCCCTCTCCACTCTCCTCCCCCCTTCCTCCCCTCCTCCTCTACGCATTTGGCTTCCACTCACCCCACGCACTCGTCTGGTTCCTCCACTTCTTTTTGTCTTGCCATGTTAACATTATCCGCCGGTGTTGCTCCCTTTTTCCCCTTTTAATATCCTCCGTTTCAACCACAATCCGCTTCGTCTTCCTCCCCGTTCCTGTTTCCTTCCCCGTTCTCCGCCTCATTCCCCCATCTTCAGGCCTATGCCCCGCTCTCCCTTCCCGCAGCAGCAGACAGTGCAGCAGCAGGGGTGACACGTGGCAGCCTGCAAGTGGAGGAGCGGGTGCTGTACATGTTTGCATGCGCCAATGGGGGAAGAGAGGGGGAGAAGGAAGAAAGCGGGGGAACGGGGGGGGATGCTGCCTCCGCCCTCCCCCCATTTGGGGACCTCTCCTCTGTGTTTGGGGACGTGGTGGTGGGGGGAAGCGCGGGCGCAGGGCCGGATGGGGAGGTGGGGGAGGTGGCGGAGGAACTGGGGGGGATGGAGCTGGGGGAGGAAGGCGGAGAGCGAGGGGGGCAAGGGGATGGGCAGGAGGAAAGGGGCGAGACGGGGAAGGAAGAGGTGCAAGGTGGGGTGACGGGGCAGGGAGAAGCGGTGGAGATGTGTGGAGTGGGGAGAGGGGAGGCAGGGGGAGGAGGGGGAAGGAGAGGGCCATGTGCAGCTCAGGCTCAAGGGTGAGGCACTGTGGGCGGGGTGGGTGAGATGCACGGTGAGGGGGGGCATATGGAGGAATCATGGTGGGAGGAGCATGGTGGGGGGAAGCATGGTGGGGGGAAGCATGGTGGGGGGAAGCATGGTGGGGGGAAGCACGGGGGGGGGGGGGCGGCGCATGGCGGGGGGGAAGCATGGCAAGGGGCGCATTGAAGGGGGGCATGGCAGGGGGAGCAGTGGGGGGTGGAGGGGGGGTGGGCATGCAGAGGCCTTGCCGGTTTTGAGCCTTCCCTGGTGAGCCCGCTCTCTTGTCCCTCCTTTGCTCTCGCACTCCCCGGACTTCCGTCTGCCCCCATCCTCCCGTCCTGTGCCCTCTCTGCTCTGCTCCCTGTGCTCTGCTGGCATGCTTCATCGTTTCCCCCCCCCTTGCCCTGGTTGCTGCAGGTGGCGGATCATCCGCCTGCAGCAGCTTCCCTCCCAGCAACCGCCGCCACCACCAGAACAAACGGCACGAGCAGCAGCAGCAGCAGCAGCAGCAGTGGCAGCGTCATCATGGGGGGATGCAAGTTCGTGGGATGCATGCAGCACAGCAACAGGAGACAGCTGGGGGCTCACACCCCCACCCTCAGATGCTTCAGGTGCCCCTTCAGGTGTCACTTCAGGTGTCACTTCCACATCAGGTTCGGAGTGGGGTGTAGCAGCAGGAGGAGAGTGGGGCACTGGCACCGGAGCATGTGACAGTAACGAGTTGGGGTCCCCAGTGGTAACCCCCCCGCTTGCATCTCTTGATGCTCTCTCCGCGTCCCTCAGTGCTGCCGCTGCCAAGGCTGCTGCTGGCACTGCTGGGGAGTCCAATGCAGTGGGGAAGAAGGATAAGAAGGCAGCTGTAGGCAGGGAAGCATCGGCAGGAGGAGCAGCAGGAGCACAGGTGGCATGCTCAAATCTGGGTGCTCTGCGGGTGCTACCATGCTTCTACGTGTTTTCGGAGGAAGAGGAGGCGACAGGCAGAGGCAGAAGCAGGGCAGCAGCATCAGCGGCAGCGGTGCCTGGCTCAAGAGATGGGGCGGATGGGGTGGCAGCGATGCAGGTGGAGGGGGGTGCGGGGGAGGGCGAGAAGTGGGAGGGGGAGGGGTATGAGTACGACCAGGCGCGCACCGTGGGGCGCCCGTACCTGCGCTTCAAGAAGCGCCTCGACAAGCAGCCCCAGCAGTGTGTCAGGTGTGGTGCAGTGCATGTGGTGTGGTGCGGTGTGTGGGTGAGGTGTGGCTTGGTTGGTGCATGGGTTAGGCATGGTGGGGGTGCGAGTGGCAGGTGGGGTATCTGAGCTGCAGCTCAGCTCATTCCGCCACTGTTCATCTTCTGCATGCCTCCATGTTCCCGCCTAACCAGTTACCGCTTCAACGGCCACCCCATCTGGCCCTGCGCCCTGCCTTTCCTCCTCCCAGGCGCATTTAGAACCTGCCCTTTCTGCAACCCCCCCACGGTGTTTGAGCTGCAGCTCATGCCGCCGCTGCTATTCTTGTGCCTCTTCCTCCATCAGGTACCGCTTCAACGGCCAGCCCACCTGGCCCTGCGTCCTGCCTCCCCTCCTCCCAAAAGCATCCCGAGCTTGCCATCTCTGCCACGCCCCCCGCGTGTTTGAGCTAAAGCTCATGCCGCGTGTTTGAGCTAAAGCTCATGCCGCCGCTGCTCGTGTTGTGTCTCCCCATCCATCCCTCCCATCAGGTACCGCTTCAACGGCCACCCCATCTGGCCCTGCGCTCCGCCGCCCCTCCTCCCAGAGGCATCCCGAGCCTGCCCTCTGTGCCACGCCCCCCGCGTGTTTGAGTTACAGCTCATGCCGCCGCTGCTCTTCTACCTGCTGGAGGCTCTCAGGGAGCGGCAGGAAGGGGAGGGTGAGGGCAGTGGGCAGGGTGACGGGGGAAGGAGGGAGGTGGGGTATGGGGAGGTGGCGGAGTGGGAGTGGATGACTGTTGCTGGCTTCACTTGCTCGCAGGTGAGAGTGGTGGTCTGGGAGTGATGGATTAAGGTTGCTGGTGTGGGATTGGTGGAGTGAGAGTGGTGGAGTGGGAATGAAGTGAGGTTCTTTTAGGAAGAGTGGAGGGGCAAATTGGTGAGAGGGGGAGTGACGGAGTGAGAGTGGATGACTGTTGCTGGCATGAGGCAGCGGAGAGGCATGAGGGGAGGAATCATCAGAGTGCAGAGTTGGAAAAGCAGTGCATAGTGGACCGTTGCTGAAGAGCACGTGATATGATATGCAGTGCATGAGCTCATTCAAAAAAAAAAAAAAAAAAAATGTTCCCTCTTTCACTTGCAGGCCTGTGGCACAACTGACCTGGTCAGTGCGCCAGAAAGGAACGGGAATAATTCGCCATGGCTGATAGCAGAAGAAGCGATTGTGTTGGTCAACGACCAGTAGAGCTCTGCCCTGATGTCATCTAAGGCTTCGCCTATCCGTACTGCTGCCAGTAGAGCTGGAACCTCTCATGATTTTAGGCTTGACTCAGCAGCTCTGGTGCAGATTACACTTACCGTATGTAAACTCTTAAAGATCTTTTATTTTTGTTTCTTGGGCCGACATGAAGCCCTTAGGATCTTTGCAAGGCTAAACTCTGGGTAGGACTTGTTGTAAATGCGGAAGCGTATAATGATGAGTCTTTGAACCACCTTGCGCTGGTATGTGAGGGCAAAGTAGATTGATTAGTCAAAGAGATACAAGGCTTTTATACCTTCATCGCTCGGATATAAGACATATATGTCTTATCTCGTACACTAGAAAAAATGCCTGGGTTATCTTGTATTTGGGGAGGTTTTGGGTGTCTTAAAAGTCTTATAAATGGACAAAGAACCGTTTAGAAGATACCTGTCAAACATATACTTGTATGATTATAATTGGGTAGGCTGTAGTGGGGTTAGCCTTAGAGGGTACAAAAAAAACAACCTTGACACTAGTCTTGTACCCTAATCTCTACCTAATCCACTCACCCTTGCCTTAGTTCTTAACATGGTAACTAGAGCAGGAGGTCTCTAGGACCTAAGAATCAGGCCCACCTAACTGCCTGCCTTGCCTACTGCCCGCGCGCGCCTCGGCTGCAGTGCGCGTCACCTTTTTTTCGCGCGCGCCTCGCCTGCTAGCGCGCGCGCCACTGTTTTTAGCGCGCGCCACTGCTGTAGCGCCGTGCGCCGGCCCGCGTCGCCCGCGCAGCCCGAGTAGAGCCCGCGTAGAGCCCGCGCAGCCCGACGCCGCACGCAGCCCGCCGTCGCCCCGCGCGTCGCGTCGGCCGCCTGCGCGGCCCGCAGCTGCTTAGCGCGCTGCCTTAGGAGCTCGCGTGCGACCGCTCCTGCCTGCTGCCTGCTGTCTCCTGCCTGCTGCCTGCTACCCCGGTCTTTGCTTGTGGCCTGGTGCCTGCTGCCTCATTGTCTGCTGCCTCCTGCCTGTGCCTGCTGCCATTATGACGACGCCTAACGTTCTCGCGTTCGAGCCTGACGGTCGCCCCATAGAGTTCACTGTGTGGTTAGATGATCTCCAACTGTTCCTTCTGACCGATGCCAAAGAGGGCGTTTCACTGTTCGATTACGTGTCTGGCACTGCCGTTGCTCCTGCTGCTGATGCTCCTGCTCTCGAACGCTCGCAATGGCAAACTCGTGATGCTGCTGCACGCCTAGCTATTAGGAACCATCTGTCGATTACCGAGCGCGCGCATTTCAGCCAGCACAAAACTGCTAAGAAGCTGTACGACGCTGTAGTTGCGCGCTACTCCTCCCCGGCCACTGCAGCCATAGGTCGGCTCATGCTACCCTACCTGTTCCCCGACCTTTCCTCGTTCACCACTGCTGAGGACCTCATTTCCCACCTGTGCGCTACTGACACTCGCTTTTGTGCCGCCCTTTCAGCCGAGTTCTGCGCCGCTAAACCCCCCCCCCCCCCCCCCTCGATGTACTTCACACTCTATTTCCTCGTCACCCGCCTCCCTGACACTCTTAGCTCAGTCAGGGACCACTTCCTCGCACTAGACCCCCCCACTCTGACTGTCGACGACTTCGAGAAGCACCTCCTCGCAGCAGAAAAGAACATCCTCGCTGTAGGTGCTGCTCGTGGCACTCCTCGCTCTCCCCTCTTTGAGGGGTGCTCCCCCTCCCCTCTCACCCCCTCCTACGCCTCCGCAGCTGCTGCTCACGACTACCTTGGTGCTGAGGAGGTCGGAGCTGCTTCCGCTCCTAGTGGGAAGCGTCGCAGCGGCAGGGGCGGCAGGGGTGGCAGGGGCGGTGGGGGTGGCGGTGGAGGTGGCAGTAGTGCAGGCGGCGGGGGAGGTGGAGGTGGTGGGGGTGGTCGTGGGGGTGGAGGCGGTGGAGGTGGTGGTGGGGGCGGCGGAGGCACTCGGAGCGGTGGAGGGGGTAGCAGCGGCGGTGGGGGAGGAGGGAGCGGTGGTGGTAGTGGTGGTCAGGGCCAGCAGCAGCCGCAGCAGCAGCAGCAGCAGCGTCAGTGCCAGACCCCCACTTCCCAGCAACTTCTTGACTGGTATGCCAGGCGTGGGGCTTCTGGGGGTCCTGGTCGCTGCCCCTATATCATCCGCACAGGTCCCCGTGCTAATCGCCAGTGCACAGGGTTTCACACTGAGCAGCGCTGCTTTGCTCGACTTAGCAACACCAAGCGCGCCAAGTTTCCTGATGCTACTGAGTTCCCCAACTGGGCAGAGCTACTTAGGCGTGATGTACCAATCTTTGATCTTGACTATGAGGCTATTCTTGCTGCTATATATGCATTGTCTGTTAGTGCTGAAGGTGACTGCTACTTGTGTGTGCCGCCATATCCTGGTATAGTCCCTGGTATGGTGCATGCAGCACTAGGTGCTTGTGAGTCTGCTCCCCCTGGTATTGCGCCTGCATAGGCCTTGCACACTTTTACACTTGACTCTGGTGCTTCCCGCTGTTTCTTTCGCGACAGTACCAGAGTCACTCCCCTTCCTGCACCTGTTCCTGTCTCACTGGCTGACCCCTCTGGGGGCCCAGTGCTCGCACGGTCTAACACCCTGTTTCCGTGTCCGGCGGTCCCGTCTGGCGAGCTGTCTGGTCTCCACCTCCCCTCGTTCTCTACGAACTTGGTGAGCAACGCTGTCCTCCAGGATACGGGGGTTGACACCTTCACCCCTGGCCGGCAGCGTGTGGCAATTTGCACGTGCTCCGAGACTGGCCGCCACCTGGCCTTGTTCACTCGTGCGCCAGGGTCCAGTCAGTACACCCTCACCACTGCGTCACGCTCCGCCCCTTTGTCTCCCCAGTTACACGCATCTGCTCAGGTAGCTACACAATGTGAGTGTCGCCGGCTGTCGCACGACACTCTTCTGTGGCACCACCGCCTTGGTCACCCCTCCTTACCTCGCCTGCGTAGCATGCACTCTCGCTTCCTGGTCTTTGGTCTTCCCAGGTCTCTGCCTGCCCTCCCTCCCTCGCCTGCGCCGCCCTGCATTCCTTGCGTTGAGGGGCGGCAGCGCGCCGCTCGTCACTCTTCCTCATTCCCTCCCAAAGAGGCTCCCCTGCAGACTCTCCACCTGGACGTGTGGGGCCTAGCCCGCGTCCGTGTACAAGGCCACGAGCGGTACTTCCTGCTGGTTGTCGACGACTACACGCGTTACACCACGGTCTTCCCCTTGCAGCGCAAGGGGGATGTCCCTGATGTTTTGATCCCCTGGATCCGCGCTGCTCGTCTCCAGCTCCGCGAGCGGTTCCAGTCGGACTTTCCTGTCCTGCGTCTGCACTCTGATAGAGGTGGTGAGTTCTCCTCAAACCTCTTGCCGGCCTTCTATGCGAAGCATGGCATCCGTCAGACTTTCACGCTTCCGGCCTCTCCGCAGCAGAATGGGGTTGCTGAGCGCCGCATTGGCTTGGTCATGGACGTCGCTCGTACCTCCATGATCCATGCGGCTACCCCCCATTTTCAGTGGCCGTTTGAGGTCTGGTACGCCGCGCATCAGCTCAACCTTTGGCCCCGTGTCTCCTTGCCGGAGACCTCGCCCACACTGCTGTGGACGGGGAAGGTTGGCGACGCGTTGCGTTTCCGGGTCTGGGGTGCCCGTGCCTTTGTCCGCGATATCACTGCGGACAAACTCTCCCCTCGCGCCATTCCTGACGCGCCTGGCTGGCAGTTTTACGACCCCGCCTCGCACTGTATCTTTGCGTCTCAGGACGTCACCTTTGACGAGTCGGTCCCCTTTTTCCGCCTCTTCCCCTACCGCACTGCTCCTCGCCCCCTCCCGCCGCTCTTTCTCACCCCAGGTCCTCCCCAGGTAGACCCCCTCCCTGCGCCAGGCCCTGCTCCTTCAGGTGTTTCTCAGGTAGACCCTCCCGTCACTGCGCCTGTTGAGGTCACTAGTGACTCCGGTTCTGCTGGGAGTGGTGCTGTACCTGGGGGTGCGGAGCTTCCGGGTGCGCAGCGTGGGGGTGCTGAGTTTGGGGGTGCTGAGCGTGAGGAGCCTAAGGGTGCGGAGCCTGGAGGTGCTGAGCCTGCACATGAGGAGCCTGGAGGTCCTGAGCCTGGGGGTGCTGCGTCTGGGGGTACTGTGCCTCCGTGTGCGGAGCGTGGGGGTGCTGGGTCTGGGGGTGAGTCGCCTGAGGGTTCTGAGACTGCTGTTACGCGGTCTCCTTGTGAAAGTTAGAAGAGAGAAGAGGGGCTGCACTAGCAAGAATGGGGATACAAATAGCAAACCCTAGAAGGGTTGTACTCGCTATAGAGCACCCCACTACAGGCTAGAGCATAAGATAACATTCTGACACACCCCCATAGCCAAAGTGGGGTGTAATCAGCAGAGCAAGCAAAGCAGTACAAGCTCAGGGTGGATCACAATGTCACCACACATTCTGAGCACAAGTTCAAGAAGCAATAGTTTAAAGTTCACAATTATGAGCAAAGCTAGTGGTAGTCACAACGGGCAAGTGAGGAGGAGGAGAGAGAGTGAGAGGAGAGGAGATAGGAGGCGACAGCTGAAGCTGCAGACATACGGGCAACAGGAGGCACACCGGCGC